GCCGAGAGAAATGCTTCCCTAGCTTCATGACTAAGAGATCCTACGCAAATGCAAAGAAACAACCAGATAAATGAATAAATGAAAACCTTATATATCTTCCTAATATTTTTAAAAGCAAAAAAATCCCGTACTTTAAAGTCAATATATAGTAATTATAGAAAATGAAGCTCAGCAACTTCTCAAAATTTAACTTATCAGAGCATATATATATAATACACCATCTCTTCAAATTTGTTCCTGCTACAAAGAAATTAAGCCAAACATCAAAAACTAATCACCCAAGCACTCCATTGCTTCAAGAAGCCATCTAAATTACAAGATACAAAAATGTAAAGTCAGTTTAAAAAGAAAATATGCCTCTTATGGAGCTCTCTGGTCACAAGCAGAAACCATATTTATAGAAGTAAAAACTTCTAGCAGAGGCAAGTCGTCCAATTTTACAGTATGAAAAATCTCTTTGCAATTCTAGGGAATACTGATCAAAGGTGTCAAATTCTAGACTAATATATCAGGACAAGGGTCTACTGTACACATTTGATTAGAAGAGAAATATCCAATTCTACACATTGCCAACAAGTTTTCATAAATCTGGATAATAAATTAGTAAATCTCATCTTACATCAGAAATCCACCAATCTGCACTTTTCCATGCATATACTAAATCATCTAAACAATCAACTGCATAACCACCCTCAAGTTTCCACCAGCCAATCTCTTCCAGAGAAAGACAGACAAATTTCCAGGAAAAATGCTGGACCATATCATCATGCTGACAAGTCACTTGGTCAAAAGCATGTTTTCCTTAAATATCTTTATCTCCATTGCTAAAATGCTTCGATATACTTGTACAACATAGCAGAAAATCTTTAACGTAAACAGATAGAAATGCATAATTTTGTTAATTTCTCACAACCATACAAGTCTAATGCAACAGCCATCCATGATAACATAAAATTGAAAACTAACTAGATTAGTTCTTACTTTCAATCACTGGATTTGAGAAGAGAGGAAACTCTTCTTCCAGTCCAACCACAAATATCTTTTGTGTCCTACAGTAATCCAGAATAAGTTCCTTCCAAAGTTGTATCTGTTTCTCCCTGGTGTCCCTCACTGGCTGCAAGCTGCAACAGAACTAAACCCTTGTCAAGAACCCACTTACCAATTAACCCACGACAGAATAGAGCGTAAAAGCACTAAAAAAAGAAAATAATACGTGAAATATGGCGGGTAATTGAAGAACTGTGGAAGCTTAAAGTCGCCCAATTTCTGCATCTTCCTATTGCTTCCTTAGTCCCAGCAATCTGCTTGAATGGGATGATCCCGATTGCAAATCTCTCGCGATCAGGAATTTGAATGAAAGCAATGGTCGTTCAAAACAAAACCATTAGGAAGAAGGAAAAAAAAAAACCTGCTAAGTTAAGTTCCAGAGATAATTATGTCTTCTATCCAAGGACTCCATGGAAATAGGCCATTGAGGTTATCAGAGAAAGAAGAAAGAAGAGTTTATCGTAGGAGCTTGCCCAGACGTGGACCTCATCAATTACTTTTTTAGATTTCAGTTAAAAGTTGTTTTTCATTTAGTAAAAGTTAATTTTTTTTTAATTTTCAGTTAAATTATTTTTAGCAAATTAAAATATTGTTTATTTGATAAATTTTTTAATTTATAATTAAATGCTTTTTTGTGTTTACAAAGATTATTTTATTTTTTGTTTTTTGTTAAACTACTTTAGTTAAATTTGTTAATTATTATATTGTTATGTTTATAATCTGTCCATGTTCATGGTACAATTTTTTTTTATTGGAAGATTAATTGTATAATTGTTAATGGATAAATGTACATCTTATATATTATATTTTTTTAATATATAGTGCAACAATTTATATTTTCACAAAAATGTGAGAACGCACATCTTAGATATTTTAATACTTTATATAATCCTAATAATGTTAATCTATAAGTATGTGCATTTTCAAAATTTTCTCTCCTGAAACGAGAAAATGGAGCATTATGTAAATATCAAAATTTTGTAATCTTCTAACAACTATTATATAATTAGTCAAACAAAAATTAAAATATAATTTATTAATAAAATTATAAATAATGAGAGTAATTAATTAATTAGGTTTAACCCTTAATTAAATAATTTTAAATTTTAAATAAAATACTAATCTAATTATTTTAGTATAATTCATATTATTTTAATATGATCTTTTAATTGAAATATAATTTTGTTTAAACATATTTAATTTGTAAAAGTTCAACATATATTGACATTAAATTTATTATAAATTTTAAAATAACTTTGACAACTTATCTTTTCCATAAATATATATGTTTCATCAACATTTAAAATATATTGACAAATAATCTTTAACTAAAATTGGATATAATGTGGTTAGTTAAATGCAAATAGGATATTTTGATTGCGAAATAGTGGGTTCTTAAATTTACAATTAATTAATTAAGTGATTAAATCTTTTTTTTTTTACAACTAAAATCACTCAAATAAAAAAATTCATATAAATAAATCTAATCAAAACTTTAAAGCAATCAAATATGCAAATTCATGATTAGACATTGTGAGCAACTAAATACGTGTTTACAATAAATAAATCCTCTTAGCACCAAAAGTTCACTACAATCAATTAAATATGTCAATGATACAAATATAACTGATTCGTAGGTTTTAATCTGCACATTAATATAACAAGATTGGAAATGACTTACGCCTTAATTTCGAAGATCATGAATTAAACATATTGATTCTTAATGACATGAGTTTGTTGAAAAAAACTTGAAAGCTATATGAGTTGCATTTGTGAAAGAGAGAGTTTAGGTGCCACACTGTTGGATATTGTGGAAATAACTCATGGCTCAACAATGAAGCAATGAGGTTCTAGAATATGAGGTACAAGATTATCATGCTATGCATGAGAGAAGGATTTGTACAAATAGTTATTAGAGAACTATTGTAACTATAAAAATCTTTATGAACTCGATTTAATATGTGAAACCCATGTAAGAGGAAGTACCCTGATTGTACATAAAAAATTAAAGAAAAAGTTAGTAGTATAAGAAGCTTGTGAAGAGAATGATGCACTTTGGAAAAGAGAAAGAATTAAGGTGTAATGCTATGGACATTACTAAAAAGCTAGTAAAAAAAGGATGTAAGGGTAAATTACTCAATCCAACTCTATACTTGATTTATCGATAGTTGCATTTGTTTTTTTGAATATTTTTTTATTAAAAAAATAATATTCACAATTTTTTAAGTGTAATGAAATATTTAAGTAATAAAGTGAGATTCATTAATTATTTATTATTGTAAATAATATTTAAAATAAATTTATCAATCATTGGATCTTGTTGAATCTTTTCTTACTCAATAAATAATACGATTAAAACTATATAACATATATATTAATTGGTAAATAATATTTAAAATAAATTTATGTATGATTTATTTTGTAAACTTATTTTTAGTCTAAATAGTAGGTGATATAAGTATTTTCTAAAATAATAAAAATATTAACTTGATATGAAATTTAAGCAATATGTCTCATATTTCATTCAAATTATTAAATTGTATAATCCATTGTTAAAATTTTGTATAAAAATATACATAAAATCATCATTTATAATTTTCTATGAAATTTACATAATATTTTAATTGAACCAATCGTAAATTTAAAAATAAGAATTTGTTCAAAAATACTCTGAATTTGTAGTATACTAAAATATTAATTATCATCACATGCTTGTTATTCAACCGGACCGCCAGCTCCGGTTTGAATAACCCCAAAACACAAAACAGTAAACATCTTTGTTTAAGAAAAAAAAAAGAGTCAACATTTTTGATCCCATCTGCTGAACATTTTCTCTCAGAATCAAGAAATTGAAATCGGTGTCATTTGATCAGAGCTAAATCCAACTGACTCCCGGTAGTTAACAATTGCAGAGAGAGAGAGAGAGAGAGAGAGAGAGAGAGAGAGAGAGAGAGAGAGAGAGAGCAATGGCCGTGTAAGTCTCTCATTTTCGATTTCTTCACTGATTTTTATGAATATAAAGTGCAAGCCAAACATTTCCCCTTTCTACATTGTGTTCTCCGTTTGGTTCGCGAGAACTGGCAACAAAATTCATAATGGAGTGCGTTTTATTTATTTATCTCTTCGGATCTAGATTTCCCTGCTTTCTTTGTTGTTTTTCTTCAAATCAGTTCCCCATTTCTGTCCTAGAACACCGAACTTATAAATAAGAGAAGAGATAGTTCTAGTTGCTCGATAATTCTCGTAATATAAAGAAGAGATAGTTCGCTGTGATTTTGATTTCTGTTTGCCGATTTTATGCTAATTCAGGGTTGCTTCAGCTCCTGGGAAGGTGTTGATTACCGGTGGTTATCTTATACTCGAGAGGCCAAATGCGGGGATTGTATTAAGTACCAATGCCCGCTTCTATGCCATTGTGAAGCCACTCTATGAAGAAGTCAAGCCAGAAAGCTGGGCATGGGTGTGTGATTAGCGTTTTTAACCTTTTTAATGGATACTATCCTGGTCGAAGTTATTTCTGTTTCTACTCATGTTTTTCTGAAGCATATTATATGATCCTTACTCAATCTCTTTTTCCTTTTTCTTCATTGTCTAGTGAGGGGGATAATTTTCTTGCCAAATCGGGAGAGCAAGCTAGAAATTGAACAAAACAGCATATCTTTTTAGGATACAAGGTGTCTTTTTTTCTTTGGATAATGGGGGAGAAAGATAAAGCGATTAGATGCAACTATGCTTTATCTGTTCTTTTTTTGTAGGAATTGAAGCTTCAGCCTTTTTTTTCTTCTGAATTTCATATATGCTTGTTGATCCTTTTAAGCAATCAAATGAGTGGTATTTAGCTTCTATAGCCAAGTGGATTAATGAGAAATAGGGTGTTTGGAGACTTGACTTTGCTAACAATAACTAAGGTTCTTTTCTGCTTCACTACCATGGGGTCCGATGTTCCTGAAAATGTAATGAAGCTGAGGTGTGGCTTATAATATCCACACACTTGGTTTCTTGTCACAGAGACTTTAATTATGTGTTATGCCATGAAGATGAATAAACATATGAGGACATGTATTTGTGAGAACAAAGGATCTTTAGGAAATGGTAGCAAATATGCGTTGGCGAAGTTTTTGTTTCATTTCCTATGAGATTTCTTTTTGGTATATTCTTTGTCATTTGTGTCAGTGATGATTGAAGTTTTGATTGTAACACACCTAGAAAAAAGCATCTCCATCTAGTTTTTTATCCAAAAGCCCGAGAGTTGAGATATTTATATATATGTATATATTTTTGTTACATTGTTTTCCATAGCACTTTCTTTTGGCATGATTCTGGGCCAAATAGCAATTTCTTATGCATGTATTTAGTTTTCTCACAGGTAGTCTCTAATAAATTTTTTTTGGGACAGTTGATCATTACTTCATTTTAGGAATTAGTTGACATAGGTTGTCTTAAGATGTTCAACTAAATAAGGAAGCATCTTATGGAAGATTATTCTGTATGCTTTCCTTTGACATACGATTAAAGACTTTGGAAGAGAAAAACTATTGAAAGCTTCATGGCATGACACAATTAGCTACTGCAGGGCATATTTGGTTACTAGATACATGTAACAGATTGACCTGTGTTTTCAGTGCAAAAGACACCATTCTTATCCGACTTGCTAGCCACTCTTATCCTACTTGTAGTTTTGTGTTTTCTGGAAAAGAGAGATCTTTTGAGGGATTTGTACTCCCATTCGCTAGAGTTGGAGACAATTGGCTTCAGAATATTAATCTATGGTTCAGTGATTCCCTAAGTTTTTATGCTTGTGATTTAGGGTATGTCATACATATTTTGATTTGTATGATTGTGATTTAGGGTAAGTCATAGATATTTTGATTTGTATTATTGTACCTAATATCTTTTCATACACAGGCTACAATCTCTTGTGAATAATGCCAAAAATGTTTTCTTCTCAAATAAAAGAAAATACAGCCCACTACCATGAATTCAAAAATTGGTGATGGGAACAAACCATCTTTTTGAGATAAAAACAAGTATATGATGTATAAGGCACCAAGGGGGTGCCACCCTTATACAAAAATTTACTTGTCTAATAGAACATCAAAACTTTCTCAAAATCATCGCACCCATAAACATCATGTTTTAGGATTAGAGACTCAAAAGTATGTATCCACCTATCTCTAATTCTACCCAAGTCCTCCATACACCCCTCAAGCGCTCTATTGTTCATCTCTTTCCACACCACTCAAAGAATAGTTAAGGGAATGAATTTTATAATTTATGAATTCTTACATAACCCACCCCAAGCTTGTTGGTTTTTTACTGTACCCCCGATAACCCAATTTATTCCCAGTAAACTATACACCATGTTTTATATACTATATGTTACCGAACACCACAAAAGAAGATGATTGCATGATTCAGCCACCTCTTTACACAAATAACAACCATTAACCATAATGTGACCCCTTCTCGTCAACTTGTCAATGCTGAGCAAACCATCTTAAAGTTTGTATAACTGTTTTTCCATATTTTTAGGGATTTTATCCTCACTTCTATTGTAATGGACCCAAAATTTGCAATAGTTCCATTTAGGATATAATATCCATAACTAGGAAAGGAAATTGATCTATTCAAATTTCATTAAAGGACATTTTGTTTTTCAGAAGTTCATTAGAAGATAGCTCATATCTAGAAAATACAAACCTTGGTGTACCAAGAAAGAAAAGTACTAATTTCAAACTGCTATTTTAAGGTAAAATCTTAGAGGAAAAGTATCAACTGGATCTTTATGGTTGTAAAGCTTTTTCTTTTCGCTTATCTCACATAATATAGCTATACCTTATGCCTGTACTAGAAACATGCATGAGGCTTGCATTTTTTAGCATGTAGGAGACTGAGAAGTCAGGACTGTCAAACGAGTATTGACTTTTCCATTACTCAAGTTATAACAGTGGCCAGAAGTCACTAGTATGATCCTTGTTTGCTCAACTGAGTTTTTCAATTTTTTAATTTCTGACAACTTAGGAGGTATAATAATTGAGATACTTAAATTTTTGTGAGATATCAATGGAATTCTTATGAATGACATCTACTAATCAAGCAAATAAAAGTGTTAAATGCAATGAAAATTAAAAGAGTTAGAGAGAGATAGAGGTTCGGCTACCAACATGCACCTAGTCGTCTTATGAAACCAATATTTCACTAAGCTTCGACGAGCTTTCTACAAATACTAGTTATAGTGCCTAGCTCACTTTTACAACTCTATTACCTTTATCACACAATTGATTTATGCTCAATAAGTTGTGCTTAAAATATTCCACAACTAACACCTTATCAATTGTAGAAATATTGTTACCTGTTTTGCCAAAGCTGATAATTTTACCTTTGCCGTTGCCTCCAAATGTCACATCTCCTCATTTCTTCAGTCTTAACTCCTTGAAGACCTCTCTATCACCGGTTATATGTCTTGGGCATTCACTATCAAGGTACTAATTTCTTTCGACCTTGGAAGCTTTGAAACATATCTATAAACCAAAAATATTTACCCAATTGGCTTTGTTATTCAAATTCTTTTGGCTCCACGTAGGTTTGTAACAATGGTTCCTTTTGGAACGCAAATTTTCTTTACATCAATAGGAAGTAAGGTCTACATGACCCTTTCATTTAAAATAATTGCAAGTGATGAAAGGACTACTTGAACTAGTAGATTTTGGAAAGAAATTTTCAAGAAACTTTTGTTTCTTAGATGGGTCATATTCCAATCTAGCTTTATCATGTATACTTCTTTGATTTGAAAAAGATATATCCAAATTTTCTCTACCTTGTGAAAATATAGAAAATATATTGTTCAAATCTTCAATTTTCTTCTTCAAGCATTTATTTTCATTTTTCATGTCCTTAGTATGTAATTCATTCGATTCAAATTTGAGAACTTTGTATTCTTCTTTTAAGGACTCAATTTCTTTTGAAAGATTTGAGACAACTTTCTTAAGATCCTTATTTTTGAGGCCAAGTTTTATCATATATCACAATGAAGTTCTTTAAAAGCTTTAAGTAATTCATTATAAATAAAATTATGATTAGAAGTTACCTTATTCATTGATTGCCATAAGGCATAGGTTTGCCATATCGTTTTTATCTTCATGCTTGGATTCACTATCTTCACTATCACTTCATGTGGCCATCATGAATTTCTTCTTGAACCTCTTTAGAGCCTTACTTACTTGAGGACACTCAGGTATCCTGTACCTATGCTTGTTGCATCCATAACAAACTAGGGGCTCTTTCTTACTTGATTCCGCCTTAGGAGTGATCTTTGTTCCTTCCAGTTTCTTTTTACTTATTAGCTTTTTAAACTTTCTTGTGAGAAGACCAAACTCTTCATCCTTTTCACTTTCTTTATCACTTTCTCATTTGATGACAAAAATCTTACTGTAAATCTTCTTGTTTTTTGTCGTCTTCATCATCACTCCTCTTCATGGTGAGTTCATGAGTTAGTAGGGATCCCAACAACTCATATAGGCTCAATTTGTTGAGATTCTTTGCTTCTTGAATTGCAGTCACCTTGGCATCTCTTGATCTTGGTAGACACTTAAAAATCTTTTTCACCAATTCATCATTAGTGTAAACTTTTTTCAAGAGATTTGAATGCATTATTTATGTCAGTAAATCTAGTGAACATGTCCGTGATGGATTTCTTATCATGCAATTCAAATAATTTATAACTATATACTAACATGTTTATTTTAGATTCTTTTATCTAGTTTCTCTCCCTATGTATTACTTCTAATTTCTCCTGAATCTCTTTAACCGATTCACGAATTGACACCCTATTATACTCATTTACATCAACTCCACAATATAGAAGATTCATAACTCTAGCATTTAGTTGAACTAATTTCTTATCATTTTCATCCTAATCATCTTCTAGCTTAACTATCACTTTGTTTCCTATTCTCCTAGAGGAAATATGGGCTCCTTTTACATGACCTTCTAAATATTATAATCCGTGCTTGAATCAATATTCTTATTCTTGTCTTCTAATAGTTATAGCAGTTTCTATTAAACAATGGAGGTTTATTGGAAGTTTGTCTTCCCTCTAGTTAGGTAGCCAAATATGATCTTTACCCAAGATAATGAAGTTACAAATTAGAGACGTGGTTCTAATACTAATTGTTCACCCAAGCAACTATGGTAACCCAAAAAGGGGAGTAAATTTGGCTTTTCAAATTTCTAATTTCTAACAGTTTAGGAGATATAATAAATGATTTGAATCTTTTATAGATGATAAATACTGTGCTTATGAATGAAATCTACCAATCAAGCAAATAAAAGCTTTAAATGCAACGAAAATCGTCAGAGTTAAGGCAAGAGTGCAGACGCGATTTTTATAAAGGTTCAGCCACCCACGTATTCTTCAGCCCTAGTTTTTTATAAAGAGAGAGTGCAAATGCGATTTTTATA